ACTGTAACTTGTTATTGTTTACTTGAGAAGAATATAACAGAGAATAAACTGCCCAAATACCCTTAAACAAAGGAAAAGTACGTCCTTTATGAAGGCATAGAGCCACTACATGAAAATGAAAATTAATGAATACACTGTGTACAGTAATTTACCTGATAAGACAGACCTCAGAAAAATACTTTATGAGAGCTTTTATACTTTTATAAAGCTGTCTATAATGAAAATTAATTAACTAAGGATTTTTTCGCCCTGCCAAGGTGTGGACCAGTTATCCGGAGTGCTAAGTTATCGAGGGACGAGTTTTTGGGTTCTACTGTATTAATTAATTGTTGGTATTCACCAGTTCTTCAAACTACTTTTCAGTAAGATAATGTCAGATTTTACAGCTTATAGTAGAAAGGCTATGACACTATAAGTATTTGCAAGGTGATAAGCTTAATTTCTTCAACTATTCTCTAGGAATTTTTAACACTACTAATAAAAATAGAGCTGGAACCAAAATTTTTAAAGAAGATTGGCTCTAGCTCAAATCCTATTGGTGGATATATAGTATTAAAATTTAGAAGCATAAATGGTTATACCTGTATCTGTGACAACTTTTGGTTCTTGTTGGAATTAGTAGACCTTTAGTTCCTTAGTTGTCTCAAAGCTCTCCTCATGGGTGCAGTTATTTACCAGTTGGAAGACAATAATGAAGAAGAAAGAAAAGTTGTAATGAAATTGTTATAAAGTTAAAATTGCAGAAATTCTGTTATCTTGGAACTGATAGAAAAGAACATTAAGCTGAAAATTTTTCCGTTGTGAACATAAACCGTCACATTTATTCTGAAAATATTACTATGAGATTTGTCCAGAAAAATATGTAAGTGAATAATTATTTTGCAAGAAATAATCTGGGTTGTTTTCCTAATTCAAACAGTAACAATTTTCTCCATTCGAATTTGTTATATAACTGTTCTGTTTTGCTCTTTCCAGAGACGACAAATCTTTATGAATTTTCACATCATATCCACAAGTTTCCCAGATCATGATTTTTTGAATTCTGCCAACACAAGGGTGTATGTCTTGGCAGTCTATAATTTTCTGGCTGTTGCTATTAAGATATTAAGAGAGTTGTTAGTGTATGTCTACAATTTTTAGTTTTTCATTGGTGACATGCCTTATAAAACCAGTTCAGGTAGATATTGTGCAGTGGTTGGCTGCCATAATGACGACTCTGGTCACTCTGGTTCCTTATAAGTGGTTTAAAGCTGTATGCAATATATGTGTAAACATGTTAGGTTAGGTAAAATGGCATTGCAAATGTTAGGAAGTAAGTTGGTGTGGTAAGTATCTTGATGAAGGCTGCATATTCGGGGTGGTGGCTGAGATTCCAGATGATGATGCTGATGGGGTCAATATTGCGGCGTTTATGGTAATTGACAAACTGTTTAATGAGACATTTGCGATGACGGAGGGTAAAGGATGGTTGGTTGGTTGGCAACACGGAGGGTTATGATGATGACAGTGCATTTGGGGAAGTTCAGGCTAAGTTTGATGTAACATTGGCAGATAGATTTGAGTGACTTTATTTGCTATACTATAATACACTTGTCTAGCCTTGATATATACTTGTGATCACTATGTTTGCCTCTTTACTCCTAGACTTATTACACTGTCACCAGGCACAAGTGATGGTGTAATAAGTCTAGAAGTAAAGAGGCAAACATAGTGCTCCCAAGTATGACTTTATTTGGCTGACATTGAGGGAAATGACAGATGGAATGATAAGTCGAGGATGCTGTCTGTGATGGAGAGGTCGCGGAAGAATCGCCATGCTTGTTGTTGCAGAAGATTTTGAAGATGAGTAATTCATCGCATTTATTGCAGATATAGGTGATGTTGAGGGTTCCAAGAAAGACTTGAATCCACAAATAGACCACACTATCTTGACAGAGGATGTAAATGGGGTAAATTGACCTTGGATGGTAAAGATCTGGTGGTGGAGGCTTGAGAGGAATGGTCATGATAACACATTTTTGGGGTTGGATTTTGGTCTGTCTGTGTCTGCCCAGTTCTCTCCAGTGCAGAGAGAAAGATGAAGTATGGTAATGAATAGAATCTTGGGAATTGCTATGGACAAGGATGATGACGTCATGTGCATAGACATAAATGGAAACATGAATATTTTCGAGTTTAAAGATGTTGTGCATGTAGGTGGCAAATATGAATGGGGATATAACACTCCCCTGTGGGATACTGAGGATTTGATGGTTGGTGACAAACCTGGATTGTGCAGTTGCAGAGGAAGTCAATAAGCCAAGTTAGAGTGGTTGCAGAGGCCAAAATGGATGGCTTTGCATATGAAGATGGAGTGGGTAATGGTGTCATAGGCTTTATGAAAGTCAATAGTGAGGTGATGTATGTGGTAATGACAGAAATGTAGGTAGTGAATATTCGTCAGGAGGGTGAGGAGATTTCTGGTGCCATGATATTAGAGACCTCCCATGTGTTTGGGTTTAAACCAGTGATGAGAAGAAGTTGATTCATTCTAATGGAGAATTTGGTTCCATGGTTTTGATGACTATCAAAGTAAGTGCAATGTGGTGACAGTTGGTTGCTTTGGTTGAATCTTTGCCAGGTTTGTGAATAGGGTAAATGTTAGTACGTTTCATATCAGGCGAGAGTTTGCCACTCTTCCAGAGAATGTTATGAAAGGTGAGAAGGTTTTCTTTGCAGTAACTTAATGGTGGCACTACAGTGCTGGAAAATACACAAACCTTCTCTGGAAACTTGTGAATAGTAGGTATAATCATCTTTAAAAATGTTTAAGCATGCCAAAGTTCGAATAACTATATTTAAAGAAATTAAATAAATATGCTTTAGATCAGTGTTTCTTAACCTTTCTCTTAAAGTGGGCCAGTAAAATTATTCATAATTTTATGTGGCAGCAATTATATATGACTGTGAATTATGTTTAGAGTTACTGTATGTAACAAAGTACGTACATAGATAGATTACTATTTAAGTGTCATCTGTAGTCAATTGTGCTAGAGTCAGTCAAATATTTTTCATAGACCAGCAGTTGAGAAACACTGCTTTAATTAGAATAAATGTAAAGAAGCTGAATGAGAAAAGGATGATGATAATCTTAATTACTTTTTACTGTTAATTAAAAAAAATTAGATTATTAAACATTACATAATTTTATAGTTTCAAATTGACAAATATCTTCCATGGTCGAGATGATTTCTAAGTTCTCTCATATTGACTAGAATGGATTGATTAGAAAATCAAAAAGGAAAATTTAGTAAAAATGAGTTTATTTTACAAATTTTGAAATTTAGACATGTGCAAAGATGAATTGCACATAGTTTCTGTATGATTAAATTTTCCCTGATGCATAAAGCGCATTAAGGCACTGTACAAAAAGGAAGATGCCATTTCTGGAAAGTTAAGAAGAAAATATTTCCTTATGTACATGTGTATAAAAAAATCTGATTTGCCTTTCTAATAATAAATGGTATAAAAAGTCATGGTTTTAATATTCAAATTTTAGGCAATTTTGGAGCAGTGACCACCGGATTCGACTGCTGCAGGAACCGCCGCCCCTCCGTCTTATAGTCGTAAGAACAGTGGTGCACTTCGGCATATCTGTGCCTGGCACAGAAATTCTTTCCGCACCTGCAAACGTAGCTGGTTGCCAGTCCTGTCTTCTTGTTGCACCAGGCACATCTTTTGCACGACTTCTTTTTTGCCTTCAAGGGTGGGAGCTTCTGACCCGAGCGTGGTCTACCACCCTCTCTGCTATCCGGTTTATTTGTCACCTTAAAATTATCACAAATGACAATTAGTAATGCAATTGAGAATGCTTAGAATATCAGAGAACAATAAAAACAATACTACTAATATAGAAATTGAACTTTTTTAGTTGTTCATTGTAAATTATGAAAATTGTTGTTTACTCTGTGGTTTGATTTTATTGAATCCCCAAGTGATCTAAGTATAATGATATTTAAATAGAAATGGAAGAAAATATTGGAAAAGGCATCAGACACCAATGGGCAATGAGGCCAGGGTTGATGAATACAAAAGTACTAATGACTAACGATTTAGTTGTTCTAGGAATTCAGTTTAGTTCATTGTAGATAACATGAAAGTTGATCACAGCACTTCCAGATTAAGTGAAATGATTTTCTCAATACAGGAACAACTTTATAATAGTAATAAATTTTTACTACGGGGCTTTGTGTAACTGTAGTCAACAGATTTTTAGAATTGCAAATAAGTTCACATTTGTGATGAAATAGCAAAGGTAGTTGCAATTATGGCTTGGCAAAATTTGGCATTTTGAGAGATTGTTTATTGAACACTAATATTAAGAGATATCGTAGATACCAAACTTTTAATACTTTGAACATATATATATTATTTAATGTACTAAACAACGTCCAAGTAAATATCAAAATATTTCATAATTTAGCAAAAGCAATTAGGCCTAACTAATTAACAGGGTAACACTTTAGATTACTGTGACAGGTAACATATAGCACTTGCCTATGTGCAATTATATATCACATCTATTACACACTATATTATTGTCGCAGTAATTAAGTGAATATAACATATTTTAAATTTTTGTAAACTTAGTAAATTACAGAAAAACATATACATTGTTAATAAGAGAGTCGACAGGATTACCTTATCCAGCAATGAGTATGTGAGGGGCTCAGCCGTGGATACCGAGTGGTAAGACTCTAGTATCACTTACTTGGCAACTATTCCTTAGAATAGCCCTCTGTCTTACAAGGGTGGAGGGCTTTAACCAGTAAGTTCATTTACAGTTTGAATGTTTATTTAAAGCGGAATTAGATGATTGCATAATCACCCTTTTCATCAGGATTCCCGACACCAGTTAATCAGTTATTTTAAACGCAGATTAACACGCGTTATCCTTAAACTCAGGATTCGGAGGAACTAAGGAAACTTGGATGAAATTGAATGTCTAATAGGAACCAAGCCATTTTATAAAACAAATCAAAACATTTAATGAATCAACTAAAAAAAATACAAGGAATGAATCTAGCTCATTCCTAAACCTGACACGTGAGAGAGTTTACATCGATCTATCAGAGACTATATTACCTTCACCGTAATTTTCATATCTGTTTCTGTATGAGGATCATCTTCCTTCTTATTTCTATTTTTCTCTTCTCTATGGTAGGTTCTTTTATCTTTCTCCTTTGACAATCTTGTCGTATATTTATACTTCAATTAATCGGTCCTAGTATGTCTTGTAGAATGGACGCTTGTATCGTATTTTCTTGGTATGGCAATACCTCTTCTTGTTGGACTTCTTGTGTGGCAACCTCTTTCTAACAGACTGCCTATGTCGTATATCAAATTCTTATGTATGGCAATACCTTCTTCAGCGGACTGCCACGAATGGCAGGAAAATACTCCTTTTATTTGGTCTTCAGTAACGTGTGCAAAATGTTTCCTCCATTTTTAGATAATATTTGCAACTTCAACAAGATTTCATTTTCTATTATTTTAATTCTTTTCTCCAACTTATTATTTTGATTAAAATGACCCTCCCTTGAACGTTCAGATCTCACAAGTAAATGAAAAGAAAAATCCACTCCAGAAACAGGTAGTTCTATTTCTCCGCCTAAATTAAATCTTATACTGTTCAATCCACGTGGAAAGCTAACTTCGTAGATGAGACTGTTTGAGAAGCAAGTGGCAAAACAAAGGATTGACGAGCAAGAGTTCCACTTTTATATACCAGACTATTTATAGCATAAAGTTTTTGATTATTATTGTAAGAATTTAATAGAGGAAATGGAACAAAAGTAAACAAAAATTTCTCAAGTACTTTCCACAGGAAGATGATGATGATTATTTCACCGAGTTTGTAAATTGATGACACCAGTGAGATGAAGACTTCTTAACTTATATAGAGACAAAACTTCCTTGGTGGAAAAAGGTAAGTTAAACATGCAACAAACCATTACAGGCCTCAATGCTGACATAAATGCAGAAATTAGAAAATATATGATAGCTACACCACCAGCCACTACTGTCGAATGGCTTCAGAAGGCTACTAATGTAACAAAAATTCAAGAAAACCGGAGACCCAAAAAGAAAATCATCCAGCATCTAAACTGAATCAAGAATATTGCACAGGATCCCAACACCTTGTCAAGAACCAGGTACTGTCATGGCCACACACAAAGAAAACAATGCCATCTTGGATTCCACCATGAGGTCATCCCCAGTACTGAAATTTGGTACATCACATGAGCAGACTGCCATTGCCTTGCTGTTTTTGCAGTAGGAATTACCAGCCCAGCACTGGAGAAGAGACTGCCTACAAAGATATTCAGCTTCTACTCACAGAGACATCCACATGGCATCTGAAGCAAATAAGTCAGAACCAACTTCACCATCTTGACTACTACTAACTGTTTCAATGGAGAACAAAATGATGCCTGTGCTCATGAATACAGGAAGTTCCGTCAGCCTTAGATATCACAAAGACTATTAGATACTTTATCCAAATACTTTCAACATCAATCGGATCCGAAGATTATTACTACAGCTGTAGGATCTACTGGCACGGCTAATATATCAATCCTTCTTAAGATTGGAAGCCTGACAAAAAGCATTACTTTACTTGTAGTATCCTGGTAAATACCCTTATTTAATTTTATCTTACCCAGACATTAGATAATTCAGTCTGGTCTTAATCAGATCTCCCAAAATTAGGAGCTAATATTAGGGAAGTATGTTCAAATCATTCTTGTAAATGCATTAGTAACAATAGTAATAGCTTATACAGGGTGTATCAGAATGACGTTTTAAAAATTTGGGGTTTGTAAAGGATGAAATTTTGAATGTTTGATATAAGGAACCTATAGCTGGAAATTTGAACTAAAGTGTCTATAGCACTTTGCATGTTCTATGCGGTTGGTATGCTGAATGAAACAGCAGAATACAGTATTTATGACAAGTTTTATTTGACAAAACAGTAAAGTACAATTAAGTGTATACCCACCACCACCCCCAACCATGCCACCCCTAGAAAACAGTAAAGTACAATTAAGTGTATACCCACCGCCACCTCTAGGAGTGCAGGCTCTACTTATACCCAAGGATTGTGATTGCATTGCCATCTGTTAGGGAACATCCAAACTAGGAAATTACAATGAAAACATGCAAATTAGCTGATCTCATATAGAAACATGCAAATTAGCTTACTTTTTAAAAAAGCAAAACAAAAAATTAAAATTAGGATTAATATTTTATATTTCTAATTAGCTATTTTAACTTACTTCTTCAAGCAACTAAAGCAATCCTTAATTAAAGTATCAAATCAAAATATAAACCTCCAGAATCAGTTGGAAAATGCCCAGACTAACATCCATGAGGTCAATCAAAAGAGCCAAATCAGACTTATTCTAGGGGAATCTATTACCCTTGACAATTACTTAAGGACAAAAGGCCCAAAGCCGTCAAACCTTACAGGGAAAAACTAGACCATGTATGGATTATAAGTTAACAATGAATAGATGAGCTGCTAGATAGACTTGTAGGTACAAAAATAGAATTTAGAATAGAATTTAATTTTATGACTGACCCAAAAGCAACTCACCCATATGAAATTTCCTTAGACTTCAAAGAATTAACAGAAAATAAGAAAAAAAGACAATTGATAGCCTTTACTGATGGGTCAAAGGGAGAAAATGGTGTAGGATCAGGTGTGGTAGTCAAGAACAGTGAAGGAAGAACTTTATACCAGGCAGCGTTCAAGCTTGCAGATCATTGCTCAATTACTCAAGCAGAATTATGGGGTATATTTAAAGCCCTCACTTACATCAGTCAGCTCTCTCACACAACCTATAAAGAACTACTTGTCTTTACCGATAGTAGAGCTGCTCTACATATACTAAGAAGAGAAAATAACAAATCAGCCCTAGCTAAAGAACTCATAAATTTGGCAACAAAATTAGGAAAACAACTAAAAATCTCCTTCAATTGGATACCCGGTCACGCTGGCCATGCAGGAAACGAGTTAGCTGATAAATTGGCGAAAAAAGCCTCAATTGCACAAACTAAAATAACATACTGGCGGCTTCCTATCAGCTCAATAACTAAGTACATCAACCAACAAATTTGTGCTTTATGGCAAACAGAGTGGGAAGAATCACCCACTGGAAGGTTGTGCTTCAAATTCTTCCCATCCATCGAGGACAGACAGAAAAACAGAATATTCAAACCATCGTTCCAAACAACACAATGCCTGACAGGGCATGGATGTTTTAACTCATATTTGTACCGTTTCAAGAAGAGAGATTACAACCATTGCGACGCAGACACGAACAACGAAGATACCGTTCATCACTTCCTCTTCGAATGCACCAAATACACAACCCTCAGAGAAAATTTCGAGAGAATATGTATCACAGAAGGGAAAAACTGGCCGCCAAAAGAGAACGAACTTATAATGAATAACAAACTTTTTAAAGCATTTGAGAAGTTTATACAGGACAGTGGTGCATTAGTACCTCAGTTTGGTGACCTGAATTTAAATATACTCAACACAGATACAACAGAAACTAATGACAGTGATGACGACAATAACTACAATTCCTTCACAAGCGATGAAGATTAAAGAAAAATGTTAAAAATAAAGACTGTTATATGTATATAAATTCAATTGTGCTACGAATAACATAGTGTGATTATTAAGTTATAAGTTATCTTGTAAAAATTTCTTGTTAAAACTTTATGGATTTCGATCTGTATGATTACATCAAAAATTCTTTGTCAACTGATTACTAAATGTATTACTTTAAAATTATACCTGTTGTATATTTAATATTTCATTAATGTAATAAGTATTGCATCCCATTCTAAACTGTTATAACTGTAAATATGTATAAAATTATTCAACCAACCATTCGAATTCCTATTATGTAAGCAAAAATTTACTGTTTAATAATGTAACCAAAACTGTATTTATCCATTGTGTTCAATTATTATTTATTTATCCATTAATATGTTTGTATATACTTTGATGCAAAAGATATGCATCCTTCTGTTAATTGCATCTGTATGTAAAAATGTTACTGTTAACTTTTTGTATTCCTCTGTAAATATTGTTTTAATAAAGGCGATGCGGGCGCCCATGGGGTCCTGTGGGGGCCTTATGGTTGCTTATTTCACACTTTCCTATCTTCCTTTATTTCCTCTGCTCTCTAACTCTTACTTTCTTTTACTCTTCCTTCCTATTCATACAGGGGTAAAGTTTGCACTAAATTGCAGATAGCCCCTCTTGTCTTTTATTAGAATAGAATAGAATAGGTACAAAAATATTTTCTACTGTATACGTTCTGTTAGCCTAATGGCAGGTTCCTCTTCATTCTGAAGACAAAGAACTGCCCTTTGTAACGAATTCTGGTCACTTCCAGTGGAATCGTTTGCCATTTGGCCTAAAGACTTCACCTCAGATTTTTCAGCTAGTTCTCAAAAATATCCTAAATAAATATAGATGTCCTTTTCTCATCAATTACTTTTGATGACTTGTTAATTTTTAGTCAGAATGTGGATGAACACCTAAAACACTTAACACAAGTATTTGAATTATATTCAAGGGAAGCTCTCTACTTAGATCTAACAAACTGACATTTTTTAAGATTTGAGATTAATTATCTTGGGTTCAACATCAAACCAGAAAGTTACTCCTCCTCATTATCAAATATAGAAACGATACAAAAGTTAAAATGTCCAACTAATATCAAATAGTTACAGGGGTGATACAAAAGTTAAAATGTCCAACTAATATCAAATAGTTACAGGGGTGATACAAAAGTTAAAATGTCCAACTAATATCAAATAGTTACAGGGTTTTTAGGGTCCATAAACCATTACCATCGAGTTATTCCAAATTATGCAAATTTAAGAGCTCTAAATATACTTCTAAAGAAAAATCAAAATTGTGCTTGGATGACTAAATGTCAAGAAACTTTTGAGAAATTAAAATGAGCACTTATCACCAGACCCATCTTAAACACATATAACACACCCTTTGCTTTCTATACAGATGCTAGCAGAGATGGTATAGCGTGTATCTTAAAACAGGAACATCCTATTAAGGACTATTTCCTATTGCATATTTCTCCAGGTCCTTACTTGAATATGATAAAGAATGCTTTGCAATTGTAGCATCTATTGAAAAGTTTCACTTTTATCTTCATAGTATCTATTTCACCGTACACACTGATCATCAAGCTTTACAGTGGCTGAAAAGTATAAAAAACAACTATCTGGAAGGTTATTTAGATGGTCTTTGAAACTGAGCTGTAATAGTATGACATTAAACATCAGAAGGGAAGCCAGAATATAGAAGCTGATTATTTATCCAGCGCCCCCGTGAGCCATTTTGTTACCACCGAGGAAGTGCTTTCCAACCAGGATACCTCTTACTCACCTCACCGAAGATCATGAAGATGTAATCTGTATCAGAAAGAAGGGATTTACAAAGAAAGTCATACCTCCTTCCCTTCAGTACAAGGTGCTATCCAGGGCACATGCATACTATGGTCACCCAGGTATAACACAGAGGCTGAAATTAATCAGTTGACATTACAACATTCTTGATGATATTCAGCCAATAGTAGAGTTTGTTAAAAAGCAATGACATACAGTCATAAAAAGTTTGGCTTGTTAGATGACTTACCTTCATCAAAAGCTCCATTTGACGTTATCTATGGACACTATCACTGGAATGCAAAGATCTACTAAAGGCTACCTTCATGTTACCATCAATCACTTTTCTAGGTTTGCTTGGTATTTCCCATCCAAACCTACTTCTATAAAAGCCTACATAGATTGTCTAGGAAAAATATTACAAACAGGCAGTCCAAAACATCTACTAACAGATAGATCACCTTCATTTACTTCAGAAGATATTTAGAAAGGAATGGAATCAAACATCTAACAAGTACTGAGTGACCTCAGCACAACTGGATAGTTGAGAGACTAAATGCCACACTTGTCTCTATACTTCTTCTTCTTCTTGGTGCCATATCAGATTCCTGACGTCGGCGACACCTGGCGTAGGTTTGTAATCCGCCAAGGTGTATACTAGGGAAAGTTACTACCCAGAGTGGTTTCCCGTTGCCTTCTCTGGGGCGCGATGTTACGCGAGGGGAACTAATGCCTTCCGGGAGGACTTTTATGGGGAACTGGCCTCCTATTTAGTCGTTATTGGCAAGGAGAAAACCCGGAAAACTCCAAGCAGCCAGCCTGTCCGATCGCGGCGCGAACCCACGACCGAACTCCCAGTGTTTAGGGTACGAAGACCACTCGGCCACTGGTGGGCCTGTCTCTAGACTAAGAATAAAATATTCAGAAAATCAAAACGATCCTGGACTCAAATGTTACGTGTTGTTGTGAAAGAATACAATCAAACACCTCATACTATAACAGGATTCTCTCCAATGTTTTTGATGTATGGAGAAATCCCCGATTCAACTGACAACTTGAATTATCCCTCTCTCAGTGAAGCATGTAAGATTGCCACCGAAAGAACTGAAATAGCTCATGAAAGAAACAGAGATAAATATAACAGTCAACACCAAACTTCAAAGTAGGAGATCAAATATTACTACAAACCTTCCATCCAGACCAAGGAAAACTTGTTTCCAAGTATCATAGACCTTTCACCGTATTAAAGATTATTTCTACATTACAAGGAACTACTGACAGACCTGTCCAATCATTAAATAAATTAACTGATATTGTAAATATAATACAGCATGATTTTATCCACAATTCGACCAACTTTATATTTCTATCCGATAAATTGTGTAACACCCAGCCCAATCTCCCTGAGGCTCCATGATGTTGACTTTTCAGGAGGGGCATTTAGCATATTTTAAATTTTTGTAAACTTTGTATATATTTTTCTGTAATTTACTTTGTTAATCTCATTCCTTTTGGAATGAGGTTAACAAGAAAGAATAAAGGCAGTTCGAGTGAGGACGCTAACGTGAACAGACGTGTTATTTTCTTTTGTCTTGCTCACCCTACACTCGACCCTACGACTACGACTGCAAAATAAACGACTAGAATTATGTTTAGTTTTTAAAAAATAAAATATAATAATTTTAATAAAGTTTTGCCAATAGATGGCACTACATGTAAATCGGTAAATCTAATAATTTACAGAAATCCATCTATAATTTCTAATATACATTCCACCCCAAAATATCTGACATTAAGTTAGGGGTATATAAACATGAATGCCAGGTTTTGTAGCAATTGGTTGAATGGCCTAGGAGTGTATAGCAAACAAACATTCTCGTTTAAGTATATTGGTCATATAATATTTTAAGCAATAAATTATATGAATACTTTTTTAAAAATATGTTAAACTCAAGAAATTTTTTACATCAATACTTATCAAATCACATCAAGAAAGTGCTTATTGTTTGGATGAAAAAATGTTCAACATTGAATTGAGTAATTGAAATTGAAATAGAAATAACTAAGTTAAACATAAAACAATAACATATTTCCTGTAAAATAGGCATAAATTACCAAGTAGTAATTTCATATTTCTTGAAAAATATTATTAAATAAAAAGCAAAGACACTATTTGTAGATGTTACTGCTCCAACTATTTTTCTGAATTATTCAAAAAATTTGTTTAATTTAAGATAAGAAATTTCTTAAATTATCAATAATTTAAAAATTAGAAGTATATTGAATAAATTTGTTCAAAGTTAATATTCAATTAATACAGTCTGAGTGATGCATTACATCAATTTGATTCTGTGATCACACCAATCAGCATGAGATGACAATTTAATTTTGCTGTTGACTGTACATATCAAAAGAATCATTAAGACCCACAATACTCCAAAAAGACTGATGAGAAAATGGATCAACAGAAAAGACCAGACTTTTATGTTCTTTAGCTAGCATTAAAATTATTTCTTTTGTGATGCACAGCCATGTTTATTTGCCTACTATGCAATCAATATCTTTGTGATCTCAGATAATAACAATGGGACTGCAGTTTTGTTGTGGCCAAAAGATTGGCCCAGTTAGTTTCATTCATTTTTATCAAGTCAGTCACTAGACTTCTGGCCTGAACATATGGAATTTTTCTTACTGAGCAACTACTAGTACTACCAGCTGAAGAATATTCCTAGTTATACATCAATAATAGTAATTTTTTAGCTTTTCTGCAATAGTCATATTAGATCAAACAAGTTTGTCTGAAATTATTATGTATGAAGAAGAGTATGGAAATAATTGCCAGACATAACTTTATCATGTAATTTGTATTGTTTTCTAACTTGTTACTTAAAATTTTTTTATGAAGAGAAAAATTTAAATAATCAAATAATCAAACTTGTTCTTGTTAGAATTGAGAAAATATAATGAATGATAGTAAAAGAGAAAAAAGGCACTTAAAACTGATATAAAAACAACTTAGTTATATCAGGTGATAGGGAACTAATATAAACATTTAAAAATACTATATGTAAAACTTACTTTAGATTTAGATTGGCATGCTTCATTCTCTTCTGGAGATTTGATTACTAAAAGAAAAATTTGCTTGTATAAATGACGTAATTGAATGAAAATTGTTAAGAGTTTACAGTAATAATAGTATATTAATTTAATTTAATTAATATTGCTTTCCTGACTGTTATATATATCAGAGGAAAAGTATGGCAATTGGTCAAAAAATGACCCCCCAGATTTTTATATATTTGGACACGGGACCTTGAAATGTCAAGAAATAGAAAAAAAAAACCCAAATTTTTGTGTGTGTGTGTGGAGGGGCACAATTTTGTTCATCATCTTTGAACTTTAATAACTTCTGTGTTTTTTGTCAAAAATTTCTGAAATTTTCCAGGGAGATTTAGGGGATTGATACTTTTAAATTTTGGTAATTAAAGATTGAAGGGGTAGGGAGATAGAGAGAGAGCCATTGTTTCTTCAGTAGGGTCAGACTTAATGATGATTTTACTCATTATTAGCATTTACAATTTTTTATAAAATCCTACTTTACCTTCAAAATTAAACCTTTTGCCATTTTATAATAGTTAAAAATATAAAACGTTTTTAAAATAAAATATAACAACAGATGGTGCCACCAAATGTTGCTGGGAAAGTTAAGCAACTTGTTGCTGGATTTTTGTAATAATGTTTCTTAATGCATACACAATAAGAAACTGTTACTTAATAATGTATTGCATGCATAATAAGTACAAAGCAATGAAACAATTTTCAAATGCATCAAATCATTAACATTCTCCTAGAGTTCCATTCTACTGAATCTATCAACTATTAATTAACTCAGACTTTTCTTTAAGATTTTTCTTTTTCTGTACCAAACAAACAATTTAAAAGATATAAGTACAGTAATACCCCGACTTACGCGAATCCGGAGTTACGCGATTTTCAAATCTCGTCGATTCGTCTTTTGTTTGAACACCACGCAACTCTTAATTACTCATTTCCCCCCACACTATTATTCGGCTTACATGTTCGGACGTGTTCGACATATAGCTACAATTTATTTTGTGTTATTTGTATGTATTTATATGCAAAATTATACCCCGACTTACGCAAATTCGACTTACGCGGTTATCGCTCGGTCCCACCTATCGCGTAAGTTCGGGGTATTACTGTATNAAAAAAAAAAAAAAAAAAAAAAAAAAAAAAAAAAAAAAAAAAAAAAAAAAAAAAAAAAAAAAAAAAAAAAAAAAAAAAAAAAAAGATAATTGTAGTCAAAAATACATTTCACAATGATTATTACTAAATCATTAATGATACCAGTGCAAGACGATCATTACATTCTCTAATTGGTTTGCAAAACTGTTTACCAAAACCTTTCCCATTTATTGTCAGCAAAGTTAGCTGAAAGATTCAAAACTGAAACCTCAGAATGAAGTGATTATGTCATCTTGTAATATAAGTGGATCATTATTAACAAACATAATAAAAATTATATGTTGATGAGTTAAGTGGATTTAAGGAGTTATTTATGTATAAAGTGAAAAAGAGATTACTCAGAATTGATCCCTGCTTAACTCCAATTAGTTGAAAAAAGTTCTAAAAATTGAAATAATTTAATCTGATAAAACAAAATATAATAGTAATTGTTAAACCAACTACTGAAGAAGTTATTAGTATATAAATTTTACCTAATTTATATAATGGAATCAAAGGCCTTATTAATATCCAATTTATAATACAAGTTGATTGATTGTCTTTGTTTTAATGTGCAATTATTTACTGAAACATCATCAGAATTCTGGGCTGAAATTTTTAATTATCTTTAAATTAAAAAAAAAAAAAAAAATCACATAATCACATGACTTCTGGTCTAGACCAGAAGTCATGTAATTTGTGAGGCCCAAGCAAGACTTGAGCTTGTGTTAAAGTGTCAAATCAGGGGATTGCGCTTTGATTCTAGTGCTCGTAAAAGAAAAAAACTGTAAAAAAAACAAGATACAAATAAAATCTGGAAGGAATAAAATTATTAGTTCAGAGGGAAAAAAGTTTTTAAATAACCTTAAAAGGAAATCTAGCATGGAGATTATGTGTCAGACTTACAAGAATTTGAAATAATAGTTAAATATGAGCAGGAGTTTCAAAGTGTGATTAATTTCCCTCAATTGAATAAAACAGTGTCCCTTTGTAGCCCAAAATGATCTATCTACCTGGATACAATAAACCAACCAATTGGAAAGCTAGTGATCCAGGGAAAGAATCCTTTAAAAGCCTGGATCTCAAGGACAAAGGCAGACTTTCTGTTGTGAGTTATCTAATTAGTCTTCAGTGCTCTATGTACAGTACAGACTATTCATACCTAATGACACCATTCTGCCTTGGACTGTTTTGGTTTTTGACATTTTGTCACCAAACTTCCCGACAATCGTAGAAATATCTCCACCGACTGCGCTGGGACCATCAACTCTACAGACCAGCTCCAACAGTTGATGAGAGACACTATAGAATGTAAGATTTAGTGTAAATAAATGGGTTTTTGTAACTGCAGCTATCTGCCTCATTTCCATCCATCCCACATTCAATAAATCCTGACATTTGTTTATCCCCAATTCAGCAACCTCACAAATTAATCATGGTCTCTAGCCCTAAACTTTTCATATCTGGTCTGCATTTTAAGGATTCTTGTCCCCTGTACATAACCCTTCTCTATTTTCATCTATCTAACTCTATTTGTAAGATTAATGAAGGACAGACAGAGACAGAGAGAGAGTACAGGTCTGAAATTTGGTAAATAATTTGGTTGCAATTTTCAAGTACATAGTAAATTACTTTAATAAATACAGTGAAAAATTATTTCATGAGCATGTATTTTGTGTGTTGTGCATGTCTGGAATAGCTATGTCTATGACAAACAAAACAAAAGCATTATACATCAAGGAATGTGATTGTGGCTTGATCATAGTATATTTAGTGTGTTTTTCTAAGACTGTCTGCGGTATAAATTTGAGGTATGGTTCCTGGGTGTATAGAATTGTATGTTTATGCATAAGTCTTTGATGTGTTTTGTTTTCTATTTAGTTATGTTGATGTAAATAGTCTGTGCTAAAAGATTGCAACTTGATGTGATATGTAGTATAACTCTTGTGCAAGATTGGCATTTCCTATAAGTGTTATGCCTTTTAAAACATACTTTTTGTGAGTTTTATGACAATTATAACTACTCCATGACCCAACCAGCAGTGAGCCTAGATTTAATCCTGGGTCTCCCAGAGCAGTATGCTGATGCCTTAACATGGCTGGATGGCTGAGGCAATTATCAGTCAGTTATAACCACTAGTACAATGCAGGACTGCAGGGCTGCGGAGTTGGTAAAAAAACACCTGACTCCAACTCCTGATAATTTTAGTAGACAGACTCAGGCAAAATTAAATACCAAGTCATTTTATGGGGGTCAGAGGCACTCACAGGGGCTACCTTACTCTGAACTCTGAAAGGAGCCTGGGGAGTTTATCCAAATACTTTTATAGTTAATATTTTTAATATTTAACTTACATTAATATTTATTTGTATAAAAAATTAATTTTTAACAAATATTTAATAAAAGGAGAAAGGGGGGGTGATAAAATTCTACATCTACATATATTCAACAGCATTTGCACTTCAATTTCACCCTTCCAGAAGAGTTAGTCCAACTAAAAAGTGTGCAATCTAGCTAGCTACTTCAGCCCCTCGTTCAGGAAAGAAAAATAAGTACTCTGATCAATTAGTCTGGCTCATTCAGAAAAATAGAGTACTTATTTAGAGCAGGGATAATAAAGGAATGATTCAAAAATATTCAAATTCAATTGGATCAAAATAATTTAACTACTAAATGCAAATGCTACAAAGAATACTACATATTTAATAAATTAAATTGATACATTTTGTATTTAAAATAAATGAATTATAACAAAATACGAAAAGATTTTTAAAAATTAATAAATTATAATAAATTTTCTTTAATTTAAGTAAAAAAACTAAATTTAAAATGTGGGAGTTGGAATCGACACATTTTTTCTGACTCTGACTCCTCTAGCCAGAAATTCCTCCCACCTCCGACTCCACATCCCTAGTACAAAGTAATTACAAGCAGATTCTACTGTGTTCATAAAGTATGCACATAAATTTTTAGGATTTGTTTATCAGAATAAAGGACACACTAACAAATTTTAAATCTTAGATATTTTGTATTTTAAAGATAAATTTTAATCTTACTGGTTCTTACTAGTTGATTTCTAAACTGCAAGGAATATGTGAAAATTAAAACTAAGATTACTTTTGAAATTTTGTTTGAACAATGATATTGAAAGAATAATATGAATTCAATAACTTAAAAAATCCCAACTTTAAAAGTTTGATGAAAATTTGATAAAGTTAAAATAGCAGTAATAATAATGAATTCATCTGAGGAAGAACAGCTTTTTGAATTCACTAACAGATAAAAATATATTTTTGCAAATTAATTTCAAAGAAACAAATTTGAGAACAGAAACATTATTTTCAATATTTTGTTCTATTTGTTTAAAAAAAAAAGTTAAGTTTATCAAGCATTATGACCACAGTCATTTTTAGATATCTATGAATTAACATTAATCCATAAATATATAGAACCCAAAAAACAAAAATTCCAACTGTAGACCCAGTGCTGAAACCTCACCTCTACTAAGCTATTATTTTTTCATTGAGATTGAGAGAACCAAAATTTTGATTTTTCAGATAATTGGTTTTATAAAAATTAATACTGAATCTTTATACATATAACTTTTAGTAAACCCTGATAATCCTAGATTCTTGAAATTCATCATTTTAAGTTTTTACATTACGCTAGTTTCTAAGGAAAAAACCATATGCAGTGGAATCTGCTTTTTGTAAAACACTTGGGACTTGTCTAAACTGATAATGATAACTGTCTGATAACATTAACAAGGTAAGTAAATGAGAATTTTCAGTAATTACAGTCTAGTTTAATTGACTGACATTAAAAAGGTAATGTTAAAACAGCTAAAACCTAACTCTTCAAGTTATACATTATAATTATTACTTCATCCAGCAATTTGAATTGCAAGAAAACAATGATTAAAGCAGTGATTAAGACTGATTTTCAAAAAATATTATTAATTAACGTTAGGCAATAGTTTTTCTTAGTCTCTTGGAACAGATTCACTGATAGAAGTCAGAGCTTTTGCTATTTCATTTTTAATTGATAACATTGTTGATAACAAGCACCCTTATTTTTTGGCAAATTGTAGATTGATTAAAATTTTCAAAATTGCCAATAATTTTTAAAGAACATTCTACTAATGCTATTGTTACAGGTGCTTTTGAAAATATATTTAAAGATACAGTTAAATTTCATATAGATTATTATTAAGTGCAATTTATTTAATTGCATGTAAGAGCATTATTTCAATATGATAAATCTAATTATTTTACTTTTTCAAATCATCACTTTCTAAACTTAACTGTATTTAACAGCTCTGACATTTTAAAATGTTTATTTCATTCATTTTTGTAAGTTGCTCATTTTTATAAAAATATTTTAAAATTTTTTATACTTTTCAGTTTACTTTTTAAAATAATTGGTACTGAAAAATAAAAAAGACAACTTATCCAAAAATTTTTTTCTATAGTAAAATCTGAATTGTGAACTTTCATATAATTCTTTATAACTTTCAACAAATTACATCTATAATCTTCAAAAAGTTGCACTACTTATAATGGTTTATATAAGACTGATGGATAAGGTCCCATCAGTAAGACCTTTTGTAAAAAAAAATAAATTTAAAACAATAACTTTTTAAGCTAATAAAAAAAACTGAAGTACAAAAGCCTTGTTTAAAGGCTTACATTAATAATAATTTAATATAGCTTTTTCTTATAATTTTAAGAAAAAAATGTTTTTGGAGTCTCAAAATTCTCTCTTCACTTTGAAATGCACAAACTGACTACAGAAGAAAATAAATCTGCTACTACCACCACCACTATCCTGAGCAAACTGATCAAAGATGTCAAGAACAAAATTTAGAATGTGAAAAACTAAAAAAAGTAATCAATGACTGAATCTTGAAAGCTCTCAGCAGAATCCTACATTAACAAAGTAATGAATCAATATTGTGATTGTGAGAACTAATTCTGTATGATGAGAATAAAAATAACATCTTAGAGATATGAAAATATGTACAGTACATCCAAAGTCCTTTATCAAATTTTTCATCAGCAGTTTAATGTGTGAGAACTGACAGGAGCACAACAACTTAGCAATACATTAAATCTGTGACAGAAAAAGATGTATACATTTATATGTATAATGAAAAGAGCACAATACCATAGAGCCAACTCAAATAGTTCAAGTTTAAAATAAATTTCAATTAGTATTTACATAAATATATTCTGCATAAATAAAATCATAAATAAATTAAATCAAGTCTATGTTGATATAATGTATATAGATTAGAAATATCTATAAATATGATTGTAAGATTTTTCTCAATGTGACACTTTGTAAACCATAAAGATGTATTCAGCTGAAACTTTGGAACCTGCTTCAAATGAACCCTGACTATAACAGAGATTCTGATTACACAAGCAAGGTTTTATAAGTACAGGAAATCCTTGTTAATTCAAACTCGTACAGTTCAAAATTCCATTAGTTTGTAACTGTACTTTTGTCCTGGCCGGGAATATAGAGATTTACACATTAAGGAATTTGGTTAGTTCAAAATACAGCTACTTCAAAATTCAAAATGAAAATTCTGTCCAAATACACATATGTTAACTTGTTCATTTAAATCAAAATGCCTCCATACTATAAGAGAACAATAGACCAAGAACAACTCTAATCTGGTCATCATGTCTTTGCTTTTACATTAACACATTTTCGGATGTCACCTTATCCATGGACTATTGTTTATTCTCATATCTCATAAAATACGGCTGGGCAAGCTTGAGCTACAATAGCAGATTGAAATATTTGTAAGGTTCTAGGCTACTAGATTTGGACAACTTATTACTATTTGGGCTGCATTTCGAGGAATTTTGCTTTACTTTTTATAAAACCTATCTGGGTGGGAACCTGTGAGGTTCTCACTGAACATGTGCTGTTTACATGCAGTTTATTTATATTATTAATGATAATTAATTAACGAAAGTAGCATTCTGTGTACTTAATAAATTACATCAATTAAGCAAATGGAATATGGCTATGTGGCATACTGTACAGAAACAGAAATAAGTAATTCTCAGATAATTTGAAGTCTTGATTATTTTGTCCCTTGAATTTTGAACTAAGGATTTTTCTGTGTATTTGTATGTTTTTGGACTTGTTAATTCTGATAAAACATTATCTATAATTATTATAATAAGCAAATTCTACTGTATGTATGACGACATTGACAATGATTGCATGAAATGTTTCAGCAGAAGTATACTTCTTGTATTAATGTCCTCTTCTGAATGAATTTTTGGTAATAATTGTATAATACTGTATAGTTATGTTATGAGAAAAAGCTCATAAAAGAAAAATTTTAAACTTTGACACCTAATCAAATGTCTTGGTATCAAGGTTTTATAAGTACAGGAAATCCTTGTTAATTCAAACTCGTACAGTTCAAAATTCCATTAGTTTGTAACTGTACTTTTGTCCCGGCCGGTATGATAAACAAGTGTTATCTGTCTATCATTACTTAGTATTAATTTTCTCTGCATTATTTTAAATTATGGCATTTTATACATACAAATTAAATAATAATTGCTAGTAAGAAATCTATTGTTTAAATTTTTTTTAATTTAAAAAATTATTTGTAGAATGATGCAGAAAATTGCCCCTGACCACTTTCAACATCCAATGCCAGTGTTAGTAATTTTATAAAATAAAAGATAGCAATAAAAAGTAAAGATTTATCTTTTGATGTATACTTATAAAAAATAATACAACTAGAAATTAAAGACACATTAACAAACTTTTATATTAATTATTGTCATCTATAATATTTCATATGATTATTTAAATTTTGTGCACAACAATGTAAATTACCTCGTAATCCAGCAGCAACTAATGCACCTAATCCTACACGATGAGAATTTTGTAAATTTCTCTCTTTGGATCCAAATTTTAGAGGTGAAGTCATTCTGACATCCCATTTGATATTATAATTTTGATCTAAAATAAAACTTTTAATAAGCAATTCATCAATTGTTAAGATAAAAATATATATATATTTTATTTTTTACCTTCTTTTGATGGTGTAGTTTTTGGCCTGCTATTTAACCACTGATCAAGTTCCAATAATCGACGACTGGCCATCGAAGGTGTACCAGTTACCGAACATTTGATGGTTTTATAAGATGGCCTTAATGTCAATAATTTAGTGGAATTATGAGGCTGGAAGTTAAGTAAGTTTCTCTTTGATTTTCTGAAAGACTGAACATTAGATTGTGGTGCTGGAGGAAGATAAGGAAGAGATTCAGTGCTAATGGTTTGTTTCAAGCCTTGCATTGTATTAGAATTAGATGAAGCTGAGTCATTAGGGTTGAGCATATAAGAAGAATTACTTTTAGTTTCTTTTGAACTGGAAGAACAACTCTTATTTTCCATACGGCTAGATAAACCACTGCCTAATTTATGGGAACTTTTATGACTACGAATGGAAGAATTCAAGTTATTTACTCCAACTAGTGGTAACAGTCTGCAAGATTCACCAACAATCTCTTTGTCTTGGGAGTTCTCTGATTCACTTTTAATTCTGTTGGACATATTTACAGTTACTGTTTTATTTTCAGGATTTAGAGGAGGCAGTCGTAAATGCTTATCCAAACTGACATTTTCTGGAATTTTTTCGGATGTTGGTGATTTACTTTTTATTACAGGAGTAACTTGCGCCTTTCTTCTAGACTAAAAAAGAGGAAAAACAATATTGTCTAAAAGATATTTATTTTTAATTATTTTTTAAAACAATTTGTATAAATCTGATTTTCTCATTATTTAAGATAATTCTTAAAAATACAAAATAGATTAGAAGCTTCAACTGAATTGCATAAGCACAACTTTAAAAATTCATCCTGAGGAAACAATTTTTGAAAAGCATACAATTCTATTTGAAAAATAATTAATAGTCTTAAAAATATATATAAATCTAAAAATTTTTTAATATAAATATCAAATTAAAATTTGATGATACACTACATATAGTTAGAATGACTTTATATCAAAGTTATACATGTTCTTTGATTTGTTCAATAACTTTACTAGTGAGGTTGAGACCAAAGTTTTAAACGCGAAAATGTGTTGTCGGACATTCAGCACTGCTTTCCTGTAAGCCTAGAAGTTTGACAATGGTGTTTGGAATGTCGAGCATGATTCCACTGACTATCCAAACATCACTGTCAAACTTCTAGGTTTACAGGAAAGTGGCGCTGAATGTCTGACGTACACGTTTTCGCATTTAAAACTTCAGCCTCAACCTCGCTATTCTCTATATTAATTATACTTCAGAAAGCACAGAATTGAATAATTGATTTTTAAATAAGTTTTTAACATAGTTATTTAATATTGTTGTAATCAAAGTAACAAAATAAATTCATTTCTTTTTACAAAATTGAATAATTTATTAAATTTACTTAAAAAAAATAAATTATTATATAGTCAACTTGCAGTAATACAAACTGATAGGGAAACAGTTGTTAGTTTGTTTAATGAAAATTCATATTAATAATATTTAGGATCAAGGTTAAGATTACAAATTTAGGGAGTTAAGGCATAATAGGTAATCTAAATCTCAAAATTTCAATAGTTAACTTTATTTAATAAATGAATTCAAAATAAAATTAAATGTTTTTACAAAAACAGATTAATGTTCTAAATGATTTTCAAATTAAATGAAATGAGGAGGAGACAGTATTCACCCTTGAAGTGTGAAACAATATATCAGAGTGGTTAAACAAAACAAAGCTAAAAGAAATCAGTTATTTTTTCTGTTGATGATTGCTTGTAAAAGTAGAAAATATTTTTTTGTGCCAAATTTGGCATTGCCATATGCACTCCCCAATATACAAACTAACACATATTTTCATGGGACTGCATCCATTTAAAGGGGTAGGCACTCATATTTTCTGAGTATAGTAGAATGGTCCACTAAAATCAGATGTTTGAATTGCTCTACAATTGACGGTTGAATCTGTCTTTGCTTACTAGGAGAAGAAAATTATTCTATTCAAAATGGAACATTTATTACAGCATCACTTTTTATTGTTTAAATCAAAAAGTGTAAACAACAACCATTATTGGAAATAAGGTTATTTCTTGGGTTGTGAAGATAATTTACAGTTTGATTTAATGAATTCTGGTAAAATTGTTATTCACTTTATCTCTTGAAAATTAACAGTGTGATGATGGTGTTTTGCCAGGGCAATAGCAAAATTTGCTTTAACACCAGAATTCGCTTTATTGGGGTTTGTTTTAAGGTGAGTCAACTGTATTTAAATATTCTGATTCATAAAATCTTTCACTTTCACAATTCTGGCTTGAATATATTTAATGTTGTCAGAAGTAAAAAAATTTATATTATTTGTAAGTAAAAAACAAAAATATGTAGTGATAGGACAATAATAAGGAAAATTTTCTGATTTTAGTTCTCTTGATAAAATACAGTAGAACCTCCATTATCCGGACCTCTATTATCCGGATTTTCGATTATCCGGATTGTTCAAAATAAACAAAAATTTTACGAATTTGCTGATTTGCACTTGGCGAATTACGACACTGTTTATGTACGTGACGGAATGCATAACTTTTTTTGTTTCAACAACGTCTCACCCATCACAGTGGTCGTAAACTCTTAAATATATTTTACGTAGTAATAAAAATATAACTTGACATACGTATTTATAAATAATTTATATTCAAATTACATCATTTCTATGACCAAGGGCGGCGTAAGGCATAGACGACGTGGGCCACCGCCTATGCCTCGCGGTCTGAAGGGCCTCGCGCCTCGAAGGTTTACGCATTACCTAGAAGCCGTGAACGCGACGAAAAAATTTTACTCGTCATAAAACGATAAATAGTTTGTCAAATTTTTATTCATAAAAATGCAGTTTCAACTGCTTTTTATTTTATAAAATCCGTCTTCTTGCGCCACCAGAGGGCCTTTTAAACAATAGGTAGTCTGTTAGCGTTGGTCAGTAGTAGTCCAAATTCAATACGAACGTTTGTTTCTTGAAAATTTGACCACGATTTAAATACAGTATTTACTTTTAATATCACCGATATGTCATCGAAAAGAAAACGTGTTGTATTATCATTAAAAGACAAATTGAAGTATTTGTTTCGATTATCCGGATTTTTCCTTATCCGGACTACCTTCATCCCCAATTAGTCCGGATAATCGAGGTTCTACTGTATTAAAAATCCTAAGGAGATAACAAGTCTGACTTTTAAACATACTGATGATTTTATATAAGACAAATACAATTAATATCAAACAGGTTACACTCAATGTGAACAAAATGTAGCTCCTCTTAAATAAGATTAATTTTATTAATGTGTAATCATTTAATGCATCTTGTAATATTTTGAACTTTATATAATTATTTCAGGTTTAAAAGTATCTTTTAAGAAATATATGATACTTGTAAGATTAAATTTAATTTTAATTAATAATTAACTTAAATCATGGAATATAGTGATGACATTAAAATGTCTTCAAATTATAATGCTGGCTGTTATGGGAAAAGTAATTTTAAATCAAGATTAGATTTTTAGATACTTTTAATAAAATCTTACTGTTTTTTTAATGGAAAGAGATTGCATTTGTTGCTGTAATAAGGCCATTTTTTGTCTGGTTATTTCATTTTCTTTACGTCTTTCTAGAGTCTCTTCATCCACCTCCTCATCAGTTAAGTTTTTGATGGATGTCTCACTGCTATAAAAACATTATTTATCATTAATAACTTTAATACATCTATATCATATATAAATATTTTGAAAAATACAGACCTCACTGATCCAGAAAGACGAGAAATATTGCTGTCAGTTCTGTCAATGACAGTGTACATGTGTACTTTGTCACCATCATGAAACACTAAGACAGTTAATGGTTGGCCACTTGATAATCTTTCTGAGATTTCATCACTTAAATAATTACAATAAACATCTTTTAATATAGTCAAGAAAATATAAATTTATATTTTATAAAAAATAAATATCATACCTATTTCCTTCAACATAATCAGAAATATCTTGAATTTGTCTGCTCTCTACCGACACTGTTAAAATAAATACATATTATAACAATTAATTATAAAAATGCAATAAATATTTAAATATTTTGATTCCTTTAAAAGAAACTAATTGAAAAAGCTGTGTAAATAGATATCTATTAAGCAACTTTGTAGTTTCAAACAATTTGATGTTTCACAAAAATAAAGCATTGATGAGCTTGAAATACTAACTTATTCCAAATAAAAATTTATTCAAACTATGTCAATAACCTTTCAAAAAAAATATTAAATAATATCTTGGATCTGAAAAAATCCAAAATGTTTCTAATTTTCCGATCTTTACCATTATAAAGATTAATTTACTGTAATGAATGAGCTTTTATTTTGCATAATAGCAGAATCAAAAGAAGGAAGAATATATTAATCTTTCCGTACAATTTACAAAATAAAAAAAAAAAACCTTATGTTTGCCCTAGTTATTAAAACATACTTTTCAAATGCTAAAGTTTATTATTTTCTATTTTATTGGAGATGTTTAGATTATTTTTGCTAATCCTAGTATTTACAAACTTTCATCAAGAGCAGAAATTATAGTAAAAAATTCATATAATCAAATTTATTACAATAATTTCTACCTCTAATGATAATTTTGAAAGCCCAAACATATTTAATATTAAGGAAAATAGTCTGAACATCTCTAATAAAGCAGAAAGTAATAGATTTTGCCCCAATTCTAAGGTCTATTCTATTTTGGTCAAGATACAAAGATTTAATTCATCAGTACCAACGGCATTGAGTCTTACAATACAATAATTTCTTTTCAATTTTTCATTAAACTTTTTACAGTAAAATTAAATTCATGTTCAAATTTTTTCTTTTGGATTTTTGAAACATTAATTTCACAAAGATTATATTTAGGAAAAATATATATAATCTTTGTAATATTAATGTTTCAAAAATCCATCCTGATTTTCAGATAAATGTTAAATTATCAAATGTTATATGAAAAGTTTTTTAATAATATGACATGTTTAAAATAACATTTTCAGAAATGAAACATCTTTTTTATTGATTCAAATACTACTTTCTCTTGGGTTATAAAATATTTATGAAGTCATAAAAACTCTCATTCATTAGGAATTAATAACAGGATGCAGATTGAACAAATTTTAACTGCATTACTTCCTATTTGTAGTTTCCTGTATGTTAATATTTAATGATTTTTATGTCAAATTAAAAAATAAATTTCTTAACTAAATGAAAATTCAGTTATCATAATTAATAATGTATCATACAGTGTGGTCCTGTCTACTGTCAATGTGAGTGAACTTTTTAACAGTTAGTGAAAAATTAAATATAAAACTTAGACAGTTTAAATTAGAACTAATGTAATACAATAGTATTTTAATTTTTATTTTGATGCTTGTTGCTGGTATTGAACCAAATTTAGAATCTTTAGCAAAATCTCTAAGAGGATGACCTCTTGACTAGGAATAAATCAAATATGTAGTCAAAATACATTGGGAAAACTGAGTTGCACATTATCTTTTTATGTTCAAAAATAATGTAAACACAAAGTAAACAAACTGGATTTTCCAGTATTTTAAGTGAGTACTCTTTGCAATTGTTTCTGAACTTCTAAACTATAGAAATCATGATATTTCAATGGCAGCTCTAACAAAATTAACCAATCTTATTAACATTTGTAATAAAAACTAATCAACCAACTATAATTAGTTACAGAAGATAAGTTTGATTCATCAATGACAAAATTAAACTGCTAACAGAAAAAAATTTATGAAATTTAAATGAAATTTCTTGATAAATAGTAATAATCAGAATAGAATTATGTTATTTAGTTGTCCTAAATTTCAAGATCAAAAAAATAATGGATAAAAGGCCAATTGAAAATTAAGGATATAGATAATGAAAACTGAAATGTTCCAATTAAGAAATATAAAAAGAGATATGATAAGAATTATTTTTAGATTGGTTTCTGATATAAACCAGTTTATTTCCTCATTTATAACAAAGCAAAAAAGATATCTTGTAAGTTTCCTAAAAGATTATGCAAATATTAATAATCTTACAAAAGAATTGTGAGAGAGAAAAAATTATTTGATTCCATCCTATATTGCTGGAAAAAAAAAACAGGAACTAAAGGCAACTTGATTACTTTCTTTTATGAGAGAAATAAAATGACAGTGTTAGTATTCACAATATAGTAAATACAGAGAACTTTTAAAATTTTCTTTAAATTAATCCTTAGATCAATCTTGATTAAAAATGATGAGTCTGTACAAAAGGAATACAAAAAAGTTTTCTAAATATAACCTTCAGAGAAATTTAAATGTTATTAATTAGAATTGTTAAGGATGAAGGAATAAACTGGATTCAAATCAATTCTCTGCAGACTTCAATTGAATTTGAAATAAATGGAACAAACTTTGTTGATGTATCAATTGGAAAAACATTTTCATATAGAGACTGATATTATATGCATTATTTCTGCTCTGGTACTGAAAAATATGTCTTTGCCTCCAATTTGGAGTTATTTGTCTTCTAATTAATTGGATCAAAATTAAACAATCATAGTTTCAAACTATAAACTAATCTCAATTTTAGTTTAAAAAATTTGTTGCTTTTTTTTTTACTTTCTTGAGTGTCTCCAATGGAATTTTGTTAATGAACAATAAGTACAAGTGTTTCATAATTGTTTATTGTATTTGTGAAAATTCTAGGTGTTAATTTAATTCAAATTTCCTATTAGCAGATGAATATCTGTACTAGTTATCAATATATGCACAGAATGCCTCAAGTGCAGACATAGCTGGTTTGGAGTATACATTGAATCAACAATTTGCTATGGAATAATCTATTGCTTTTAGCCCTTAATATTGTTCAACACTTCTTCTTTAGGTGTCTTCTCCTGTCAGGAGGTTGTCAACCATTTCACGCCACCTTGATCTATCTTGTGCTTCTCTTGAACACTCTCCGTATGTTAAGTACTTCCAATTCCTGATGTTGTCGAATCAGTTTATTCTTGGCCTACCCCTGCCTCTTTGCCCTTCAATCATTCCTTCCAGTAATAGTTTTTGTAGGCTTTGGTACATGTCCGAGATAACTCACTTTTCTTTTCCTTACCACTTCTAGCTTTGTAGTTGCCAGGATATCTTCATTTGTTCTTCTTGCCCTCCAAGGAATTCTCAGCATTCTTCGAATCGTCCACATTTCAAATGCCTTCAATTTATTTTCATTATTTGCATTCATTGTCTAACTCTCTGCTCTGTAAAGCAGGGTTGACCAAATAACATTTTGCCAACCTAATTCTTGTTTGTATACTAATCTTTGTTGATGTCAACACTTGTTTCATGTTTGTAAAGTTTAACACTTAGTCTAGATCAAATAGACACATATACGTACGAACTTATCACACTGGTGATCTAGACTAAGTGTTAAACATTTAGCTATCTTCAATGCTGGCTTAATTTAATAATAATTTTTATCTGATGTGAAACCAATGTGTGTTACCCATTTCCAAAACAGTTGTCACTTCTAGCACGATGTATTTACAAAACAACTTTAAAGTCCATTTACAGACCTTCATTATACACAGTTTATTATTTTTAAATAGATAATACTCTTATACAAGTATTTTGTAAAATTCTTATTCAAAATGATTGCCACAAGTATTATTTGATATTAACTTTTTAGTTTTATTCTTCATTACAGCTATTTGATATTCACACCCCCTTCCGTAACTCATATAAACTGATATGTGAAACAAAAATGTTTCACATATCAGTAGGAATATAACAACAGAAAAAAAAATTTGATAAGTAGTAAAATCTGACAAATGTATATTAATAGAAAAACAAATATTATAGGAAAATAATAAATGCATGTATTTTGATTGAAAATAAGAAAATTCTGAATTACATGAATGTTTTTGCACTCCATCTTTTGGGTATATTTCCTAGTTTACATACTACTGAAATAACATTTACTCAATCATCATATTGAAACTGATTTTGTAAATTAGAATATATAACAGTTTACAAAATTAAATGTATAAAAATTCTATTAAAAATAATATTTAAACATTTTTGTAACATCAATATTTCTTATGTCACTTGGTCCTATGGTTTTCCAATTGGCTTACATCACATTTTTGTATGTAATTTTGAATTTGAAAAACTATTATATTAACAACAAACTTTATTATTATTAATTAATTTTTTACTTGCTTCAATAATCATCATAAAATAGACAATGATTCATGAAATTTTGATTACTTTAAAATCAATATCATCATCATCATCAAATATTTCCATTAACAAATAGAAAAATAAAGTTGTTTGTGTTTTTGTAATGTAAAGTAGTTGGAATTAAAAGTACATAATTTGTATATTCTGTATTAAATTTTTAAAAAAATTTCTATTCTTTTTACACTGACAACATACAGCATCATATATGTTTATAATAACTAACTGCATTTACAGAACAAAAAGATATTGATTCCATATTTAAATGAAGTAGCATGTCACTTGATCATTAACTTTGTATTGCTTTGTTTATATCTGATAATTCATGGAATCAATATAACTAGATTCAAATTTATGTATTACATTGGTTAGCAAAATTTGCTTTTTTCTTTGGGAAAAGCATTGTCCTCAGAACAGTTTGATTACAGTAGGAATAATTTTTTTAATGATGAAAAAATATGTAAATACACAAACAAAAAGATTGATTTTTATTGATATTACTTTCATTCTTTCCAATTTTATAAGACTACATTATCTTTTTCCAAATTGTCCTACTTTCCAATAATAATATTTTTAGTAATATATCAATCATTAGCTAGATGATAATTATTAATTTATGAAATTATTGAATTTGTGAAATAGTCAGGAACAATGAGAGGAGGAATAAGCCAAAGTCCCTGGGACCTGGATTTGAATCTGTATATTGAAATTGTAGTTATAAAGTCTAAAATCAATATATACAGTGGAACCTCAGTATACGACCTTAATCCGTTCCTGATGTTTGGACTTATACCGAATAGGACATACACCAAACCAGCCTTTCCCATAAGAAGTAATGTAAAAATGATTAATCCGTTCTCATGTAAAAAAAATGGCTGGCTTTAAACATCTCGCTTTCCTGGCTAGTTCCTGCTTGATTTTTCATGCGATCAGCATGTATCTTTTTACATGCTTTATCTTTCTCGCAAATAATTGCTTCTAATAGGATGTCGCCAACACACTGTTTTTCAGTTATCCAAAGCAAAAGCAATTTCTCACATGATATAATGTCTTTGATTTCTGTTTATAAATCGATTTAACCCCTTTTGCAACGTTAGTAGATTTAATAATGTCTTTATTTTTCACGATTGTCGATATATTGTCATTCTCGGAATAAAGTATGCAACAGTTAAATCTCGAACACGCATGCCACCTTCATATTTCTCAATAATCTCTTTTTTCAGTTCCATTGTGATTCTAGTAATTTTTTTAGTTTTCTGTTGCTTTTCATTTGCCTTTTTGCAATTCATGATTAATAAAAATAATAAAATTTTACTTACAAATTAAAATCAGAAGAAATTTAACAAAGTTATAAACCGTGGCACTGCGAACGTCTAGTCTGGCCTAGTACACTGATAGTGCTACTTGTTCATAGATGGTGTGTATGATTAAGTCGTATACCGAGCAAAATTTGTTTCGTCCAAACAGGATGTATTCCAAATTGGACGTATTCTAAAGCAGATGTATACCGAAATAACAGTATATAATTTTAAGCACAAGAAAAAAAAAATGTAATAAATTGACAACGTCATATCAGAAGGGATAAAGGGGCTAGGAAGTCCAACCTCTGGGCTTGCCATAATCATGGAAGTTATGTATACATCAGATAACAATTAGTATAACATTAAATATATTAGGAAAAAATAAATGGTATAGTTAAATCCTTCCAAAGTTCAAAATTCATTAAATTATTATGAGTATAAAAGGTTAAATCTGAGATACTAATTTAAATAATATTCTACAACAAATAAATTGTCAATGACCCAAACCATTGTCAAAATGAATTAAATAAGAGATTATAAATCTCTAATTTCATTGATCTTGCACTCACAAATCTTAGTGTAAAATAGCAGAAGTTTACTATAGACAAAAACCCTCGCAACAGTAATTTATAAAATATCAAAATTTGATTTTTAAATGTAAAATTGTATTCAAAACAACCTATCTTTAAAAATGTTTGCCATTTATTTAATATTTTTAGAAAATAATTTCTTTAAAGTGAAACTGAGGTTTATTCTTTTAAAAAAAAAATTAAGACAGATAATATATATACCTCTCTCACAAGGTAATTGATCTACATATCATAAAGATAATAAATGTAAGATTTAACAGGCTGATTTTATCAATATTTATTAATAAATTTAAATATCAAATGCTAAACATGACTTTCAAAAACTGATAATTTTTATGCATGCAAAACCCATTACTGTCAATATCAATGTTGAAATTTTCCAATATAACTTATTCTCACAAAGAATGTTAAACTCTAAAAAATTCAAGATTTTTGGATTGCTGCCAAAACTTGCTAACCATTGTCTGGACTAAATTAAAATATTTCCCATCCAATTTAATACGACTTATTTAAGTATATAATATTAATAGAAATGAATCACTTAACAACAAAGTCAAAATTTAGAATAAAAACTAATGACAGAGTGGAGTTCTAAATGAAAATGAAAATACAGATTATAAATCAAAGCCAAAAATTAATAATCTAATTAAACATATTCTTAATATAGATGATAATGATAAAGTTCCAAAACTATTAAAATTAAATGATATGTAGATTTTTCTTCATCAATGAACAACTCTCAAATATCATACTACCCGAAAAATATTAAATAAGATAAAGAAGTTGAATGTTTACTTTATATTTGATGTTCAAAATATGTTAATTTTTGAGTACTCAATCTGAAGATAGGACAAATTTGTCCTATAAAAGTTTTATCTCAATAAATTTCTGACTTCAACTTATTGTTTTTCCTTTTATCTTAGATTTTTGTCAATAAACAAACAAAATATAAGGCATAAATTTTAGTGAATTAAGCATAATCTGTATTATAAATAAATAAAACTTATTCTAATTTTTATCAAAGCTAGAATATGCGTAGTCATTAAAAAAATCACCAACATAGATTTGTTTAATTATAGTTTATGAGAAGTTATAAATCTTACGTAAGTTATATAATTGCATGTTTATTTATTTCTTAATTCATTATTCTTTATTATATGTTGTAAAGATTTATAACTTTATTATATTTGATTTCTTTTGAAGATAATGGCACCTTAACATATTGATTATAAACATAAAAAATTTAACTTTATTAGATTCAAATATTAAATTTGATAAAATCACTATTTGATGTAAAATATCAATGTAAATTATAATGCTTCTAACTAGGTACATATTTGTAAAAAAATAAATTATTATATAAAAATAAAATAACATTTCTAAAAATTGCAATCAAATTAAATTTTTGCAAACAAGTTATAGAAAAGCTACAAGAACCAAAGTTATTTACATTAAATTTGCCAGAAAATTAAATATTCTTATTGTAGATATAAACTAATTTTTACCCCTTGCAATACATCTTAACTGCAAAGCTTTACAGTTCTGCAGAAATGCCCAACTTTATAATAATTAAATATTTTTAATACCGATATTGCAATAACAAATTATTGTCTTAAATTCTATTTGAAAAATCAATTTCTAAATAACAGAAAAACTGAGTTTTTACATAAAACTTTACCTCTTCTAGTATTGATTGGGCCACCTCTCATTCCAAGAACAAGTTTCAGCGTTGCACCATCTGTTATACTATAATCCTGCAAGCAAAATTCATCTTCTAACTCTTGAGTCTGCCATATTAAATGTTGCTGAGCAATTGGTATACCTAAAATACAATAAAATTCTATAAATAGGATATAAGTTCATATTTATTTGAAATATTATACATTTACTTTTTAAAGTACTTTTATAGGNCTTTATTATATTTGATTTCTTTTGAAGATAATGGCACCTTAACATATTGATTATAAACATAAAAAATTTAACTTTATTAGATTCAAATATTAAATTTGATAAAATCACTATTTGATGTAAAATATCAATGTAAATTATAATGCTTCTAACTAGGTACATACTTGTATGTAAAAAAATAAATTATTATATAGTCAACTTGCAGTAATACAAACTGATAGGGAAACAGTTGTTAGTTTGTTTAATGAAAATTCATATTAATAATATTTAGGATCAAGGTTAAGATTACAAATTTAGGGAGTTAAGGCATAATAGGTAATCTAAATCTCAAAATTTCAATAGTTAACTTTATTTAATAAATGAATTCAAAATAAAATTAAATGTTTTTACAAAAACAGATTAATGTTCTAAATGATTTTCAAATTAAATGAAATGAGGAGGAGACAGTATTCACCCTTGAAGTGTGAAACAATATATCAGAGTGGTTAAACAAAACAAAGCTAAAAGAAATCAGTTATTTTTTCTGTTGATGATTGCTTGTAAAAGTAGAAAATATTTTTTTGTGCCAAATTTGGCATTGCCATATGCACTCCCCAATATACAAACTAACACATATTTTCATGGGACTGCATCCATTTAAAGGGGTAGGCACTCATATTTTCTGAGTATAGTAGAATGGTCCACTAAAATCAGATGTTTGAATTGCTCTACAATTGACGGTTGAATCTGTCTTTGCTTACTAGGAGAAGAAAATTATTCTATTCAAAATGGAACATTTATTACAGCATCACTTTTTATTGTTTAAATCAAAAAGTGTAAACAACAACCATTATTGGAAATAAGGTTATTTCTTGGGTTGTGAAGATAATTTACAGTTTGATTTAATGAATTCTGGTAAAATTGTTATTCACTTTATCTCTTGAAAATTAACAGTGTGATGATGGTGTTTTGCCAGGGCAATAGCAAAATTTGCTTTAACACCAGAATTCGCTTTATTGGGGTTTGTTTTAAGGTGAGTCAACTGTATTTAAATATTCTGATTCATAAAATCTTTCACTTTCACAATTCTGGCTTGAATATATTTAATGTTGTCAGAAGTAAAAAAATTTATATTATTTGTAAGTAAAAAACAAAAATATGTAGTGATAGGACAATAATAAGGAAAATTTTCTGATTTTAGTTCTCTTGATAAAATACAGTAGAACCTCCATTATCCGGACCTCTATTATCCGGATTTTCGATTATCCGGATTGTTCAAAATAAACAAAAATTTTACGAATTTGCTGATTTGCACTTGGCGAATTACGACACTGTTTATGTACGTGACGGAATGCATAACTTTTTTTGTTTCAACAACGTCTCACCCATCACAGTGGTCGTAAACTCTTAAATATATTTTACGTAGTAATAAAAATATAACTTGACATACGTATTTATAAATAATTTATATTCAAATTACATCATTTCTATGACCAAGGGCGGCGTAAGGCATGG